TATGAAGATTACATTCTTGTTTCTCTATTTCCTGTGTCCTGAAAGCTCTAAGAGGGCAGGACACCAACTTCCTCATTTTTTTATCCCCCCACCAAGAGTCTGGACTAGTTTAATGTCAGCCTTCTGTAAATGTTCCATTCCCTCTTTTGAATTATATGCTCATGAAAAAGATATTATTTTCTCACTTCTTTCCCCAATAAAAGCCATTTTAAGAGGTCAACAGTGCCTGTTTTTAAAAGGATTGTAAGAAGAATCCAGGGATATGACTGCACTGCCTCTAGCTAGAGGCAGGGTTAGGATATAATCTTTTACAGTTGCCAGTGACTTCATATTTTGTAACTCTTCAACTCTCTTGGCATATTACTTGCAGAAAGCATTACAGAGGTAGATATTGAATCTCATCTCTCCTGTCAGGCGGTCACACAAACAAGCAAAACTTCTAGCATGAATTTATGATTCTTGAAAACATAAAAGCAGCTCAAGGACTCTACTTTCTAAAAAGGAATGCAAAAGCTACATTTTTAGTAACATCTTCTGGACAAGAATAAAAGATGAACTTAATCCTGTTTGCTAACTCCATGATGAATAATTGTCAAAGCAGAGGGGGATTGCTTGTGTATTGAAATAATGCTAGTATGGAATCATCAGCATTTATTTTAAACATTAATATAGTTACTACCAAAACAGAAATATTGGTTTAAAATTCTATTTTTTAAAAAATTTTATCTCTTTGATTGAATCATAATGACACCAGATATTAATTTAAATAGCTCTGCTCTCACTACGCCATATGGAAATGTCAGATTCTTCATTTTTAAGGGAAAAAAGTGGCATATTTTTTCACATAGCTTTAAGAGAATTATTTAAATAAACAATGGAAAACAGTCATATAACAGGTTGAGACAGTGAAATGGACAGATTTGTATAGCAGTGGCAGTGTCCCAAAATACTGTTCCCATTTTTATACTCTAATATCTGTTGAGTTTTCCTCTTTTTAGTCCTTATTTATAAAACCTATGCCTTGATAAGTAGTTCATAAAACTAATTTACACTAAAATTATCTTGACATGTGTGGTCTATTTTCCTCATGAAATCAGGGCTATTGAAAATACTGGCTGGGTGCAGGGGTGCATACCTATAATTCCAGAGAATCATGAGGCTGAGGCAAGAGGATCACACAAAGCTACCTCAGCAAAAGTGAGGCACGAAGCAATTCAGTGAGCCCCTGTCTCTAAATAAAATACAAAATAGGGCTGGGGATGTAGCTCAGTGGTCAAGTGCCCCTGAGTTCAATCACTGGTACCACCCCTCCTCCACAAAAAAAAAGAGAGAGAGAGAGAGAGAGAGAGAGAGAGAGAGAGAGAGAGAGAAAATACTGTATACAGAGGGAAGGAAAAATGCCCTCAATAAGAAATTGGACCATTGAGCCAGTGTGGTGGCACACGCCTATAATCCCAGGGGCTCAGGAGGCTGAGGCAAGAGAGTTGCAAGTTTAAAGCCAGCCTCAACAATTTAGTGAGGCCCTAAGCAACTTAGTGAAGCCCTAAGCAACTTAGTGAGACCTTGTCTCAAAATAAAAAAAGAAAACAAAGAGGGGGGCTGGGGATGTAGCTCAGTGGTAAAGTATATCTGGGTTCAGTAAAAATAAAAAAAATACAAAAAAAAAAAGAAATTGGACATTTATATCTGTTAGGAGACAAATAAGGGACATTTCAGACTCCATAACTGTCCTCTTCACTGAAATACTCAGGGACAATCTCATTCTAGATGATGCAAAGATAAATCATTATGCTAAGAATATAGCCGAATTCTAAGCCCTAGGCATTACATTGGGATGATCTCACTGAAAGTGGCCTTGTCTACCTCTTCTTACCTGAGTTAGAATGCTGTTAAAATGTAGATTTGCTGGCTTTTCCTCTTAGTCCCATGGATAATAAACATGAAATACATAATAGTCAAAAATTTTCCCTTTCAGTATGATGTGGAATTAATTCTAAACTCTCTGAGGATGGTAGCCATGTCTGTTTCAGCTCAATGTTTTATCTATAATATTTAACATCATACCTAATACACAGAACAATGAAGGTGCTTACGGAGTAATTATGAGGAGATAGATGGAAGCAAAGCTAGTAGAAATTGTTGTTGTTCCTATGCTAGACAGATAATTACTATGGAAACAGTAAGTTTTTCTACCCCATCATCTCTTTGATACTTTTGTGCGGTAGAAATGATGAAAACAAAGGGCTAAAAAAAATTTAAGTCATTTAACTATAATATTTTATAGGACTTTACTGGCCAATTATCCACAAGTATCAAATTAAGATGGCAGGTCTGAAAGTGTAGTAAAGAGTGAATTCTGACAATCCCTAGACAGAGATTTATGTTCAGATATTGTGATATTTAGTTATTACAACAACTTGATGAAAATAGTATTGATACTAATGTATCATATATTGTACCATTTTGAAGATCAAAGCTGAACTGAGTCCCTGGGCAGATTCCAAAAGAGTCAAAGCTCCAGGAAGACAGTTAAATCAAGGTAGGGCAGGCCAAGCAACAGTTTATAGAAGCACATGCCAGTCAAACCCCTCCAATGTATTGGTAGGAATGGATTCTGAAATGTGTAGACTAAGGGAACATCTATCTTCTTTTAGTTCCCAAAGTATATGGAAGGAATAGAAGATTCTGTAAAATCCAGGAAGAGAAGCAGCTGCTGAAGGCCTCCTTATATACCAGTAATAATATTTTTGTTGAAATACAGATGAGAAATAAAAACTACTGAAGAAAATCTCACAGCAGCAAGCAGACAGGGTTAAGGTTTGGGGTGTACATTCTGTGTCACTCATTTCCAAATAGTGAGCTTGACTCTGATACCTTGTCAAAAAAAACATGAACAATATTTCAAGAAATATACCTTTTTTAAAAAATGCATTTATTTTAACTAGTAGAAACAAACATAAACATCATACATATTTATGGGCCTTTTTATGCGAAATCTGGGAGCCTGAATTCGGGTGGTGAATTGAAACTTGATAAATAAAAAGTCAAAAAAATGTAACCCTCCCCCAAAATAAATATTGAGTATATTAAAATATATTTTATTAATGTATCTTATCTGTTTCTCTGTTTTTCCTTTCTTTTATTTTCCTTCCAGATAGCTTTATTCATTATGGTCAGAATTCTAACTATTTTATAGCTCAAACACAATTAAAGAAGTCATAGATAAGTGACAGGTCATTCTTTGCTTCAGATATCTTCAATTTACAGACCACTTGGTGAATAGATTCAAAGGATTTCAACACATCTAAGAAGGCATATTAATGTTAGATATTTTCTCATAAAAAAGTTTGGTTCTTCAGAAAGTTTTCCTTGCTTCCCAGTTTGTCTCACAGTCCTTTCTAATTTCCGCTGGTATAAATCAATTTAGATTTATTGGCTTGGTACAAAGGAACTCCAGTAAGTTTTTAATAATAATTATCATTATCACTGATTAAAGTTATATTGTTCAGGCCAGATGGAGTCCTTTTCCTGTCAACTAGAATGAGCTTGCATTATGTAGTTATAATGTGTTTAGATCTAAATAAACAGATGGCAGAGTGACAGGATATTATACACTGATGATGTCAGTAGCAGCGATCACAGACAGAACTGCTTTAAATAAACTCTGCTGTAGCAAGGATCCCCATACTTTTAAAAAGATGACTTGAACTGATCCTGAGCATTGTATTCATTTGGAAACACTACAGTTCCCTTCTGAGGGCAGACCATCAGGCCAGGCTGAGGTCAATCAGAGAAAGTGTCTGCGGAATCTGTATTATAACTCTGAAGGTCATTATCATGTGGGATCACTCAGGCACTTTCACTGCAAAGGAAATAAACCTCTAAGCAGTAAGAATGTTCAAGCTGATTATTTGAAAACCACGTATCAAGGGAAGATGGAAATATTTGGTAAACTCTATTTGATAATTTTTATAATATAGTTCTCTTTGAATTCACAGTTAATACCTGAAAGCTAAGAGAGGTTTAATAGGAAGCTTGTTACAGAACAGCTAGTCTTTCATCAACTTTCATGTGTACTTTCCATTCTAAAAATAATCCATGTGCTTAAATTTAGAATGAAATTCAGAAACCAGCTTCACACAAAGTTATTTTACCTGATTGCCTCTAGCTAATATTTTTATTTTTGAGTCCTTATGGGGATTTCTCTGTGGGACAACTATGTTTGTTGAGGCCGATATTCACTGTAGCTTAAGAGCCACCACAAGAGTTAAAGGCCAATATTCAAAAATGCATATAACAATTTTAAAAGCATGTATTGAATAACTGAAATTGTTTTCTAAAAAAATTAGCTCTTTTAAATGCTTGATTTTGCCTTTTATTCTGATGTTTTGTCATGTGTTTCAAAGAATATATTCTCGCTTTCATAAACTTGATTTCTTTTTAACAATTAACTTAATTTGTAATATCTATTGGAATCAGTAAGCTGTGAACTTTTGAAATTATACCAAGTAGAAGAGATCAATACAACAAAAATCTTCAACAAAGTGAAATTTATTTAATATAACAATTTACTTCTGACTTTCTGGGAAATATTGCAAACATATTTGTTTCTTTTTCATATAAAATGTTGAGAGTATTTTGAATACCAGAAGATTGTACTTCAGTTTTACATGTTCTGTTGTCATCCGATGGCACTGGGAGTGGGGACCAAATACTTAACAAATGGGCCATGGGGGTGATTATACTGCCATTGTTTTTTTCAATCTGTCTTTATGTGTATGAATTATTTCCAGTATTCTTAAAATGGCATTTGTAGAGTCAAAGATAGAACATTCAAGCTTTGCTACTTAAGTGAGCATTTTCAGCACTAGGCCTCAACTCTAGTATGACATAAAATTTTCCTAAAGAGCAGGGATATGTCCTTGGGCATTCCCTCCTCATCCAGGAGTGAAAGATTAAAACGTACATGACCTTCTTTCCTCCTTGTTCCTCTTCTGCAGGTGGACGTTGCCATAAGTCCTGTACTGGCCGATGCTGGGGACCAACAGAAAATCATTGTCAGACCTGTAAGTACTCAGTAGTATAAAAATAATGTTTGAGATGGTCAAATGAAACATAATATGTAGTTGCTTCTTACATTTGTTTGAAGTTTCTAGGTTAATCATTTCAGAACATTACTGTGTTGCTATTAGTTAGACTTCAAAATTTGTATGTCAGTAGAAGTACACAATCCAAAATGTGAGCAAAATTATATTAATTCAACTTTAGGTAAAACAGATATTTCAGTACTTTTCCCAAGCAGTTATATTACCATTCATTGATAGGAAAATAAAGGGCAAAAAGTATACTGTGTACCTGCTATATTCCAGGCACTATTCTAGGCACAGGGGTTATAAACTAAGTGAGGGATGCATGTAGATTCCCTATTGTTAACATAAATCTTGCTCTGAGAGTATGTTTCTTGAACTAATCATTAGGTAAGATAGGTATGATGCTAACCTCATTGCTCAGGCATTTAAAATCAAACCACACAGAGTATAGAGACAAATATCTAATATTTTCATCGTGCTTAAAGTCATAAGCCATTTTAACCCCAGGAGCTTTCATCAATCTTAGGTATAAATGGTTTCTTTAAAAATGGAAACAACTGGGTGCAGTGGCATACCCCTGTAATCTCTGCAGCTGGGGAAGCTGAGGCAGGAAGATTACAATTTGAAAGCCAGCCTCAGCAATTTAGCAAGCTCCTGAGCAACTTACAGAGACCCAGTCTCAAAATTTAAAAAAAAAAAAATGTAAAAGAACAGGCTGGGGATGTGGTTCAGTTGCTTAAGCGCCCCTGGGTTCAATCCCTGGTACTCAAAATAAATAAATAAAATAAAATAAATGGAAAACAAAATGCCCTGTACAAATGGCAAATACTTGTTTTTCCTGCTGCAATAACAATGACTAGAATATTATTTGAAAAGCACTATTGTGACAATAGTAAATATTACTTTATGAGCATAGAAGACAGAAAATATTGTTGGAGATTTTTACATACAAATATTATATATTGTGGAAGCTTGTTAAATTATTGAATGAAAGTTTAGAGATTTTTAATTTGTCTCAGTTCATGATGTTTTGCTAGATTCTGTTTGAATAACAATAATAATAACAGCAACAACAAAAAGACAAAAAGGGGGGAGGGTGGATGATGGGAAAGGCAGCGGAGCACAACAGACACTAGTATGGCAATTTGTAAATCAATGGATGTGTAACTGATGTGAATCTGCAATCTGTGTATGGGGTGAAGGTGGGAGTTCATAACCCACTAGAATCAAAGTGTGGAATATGATATGTCAAGAAATTTGTAATGTTTTGAACAACCCACAATAAAAAATTAAAAAAAAAAAAAAAAAAAAAAAGACAAAAAGAATTGCTTTATTTCAAGCACCAAAGGAAGAAGTAAAAGATGATATATTTTCAATAGAAAATTATTTCTTCAGTTTATTTTTAAAATTTGTGAGCAATGTCATATTAAAAATTCATAAAATATAATTGAATAAAGTAAAAGGTACCTTTTTACCTGTGTCTCTCTTTGGTCCCTTAGCTACCATAGATAGGCAATAATTATTATTGGTAATTTTGGTATATTCTTCTCAAAGACAATTTACACATACTCAAGGAAATATGTACACATATCCCACTCCTTTTTACTCAGATATTAGCAGGCTTTGCATGTTGTACTGTGTGTTATTTCTGTTGCTGTAACAAATACCAAAATAATAAACTTATAAAATAGAATGGGTTTATTTTGCTCATAATTTTATAGTTCTTACTCCAGGAGTGATTGGCCCTGTTGGCTGTTACAAGACTGTATGTCACTGTTCTCTTCATGGTGGGGTCAAAGAGAAAATGCCTGGGCCTGGAAGTGGCCTTTGAGGGCCACCCCCAATAATCTAAAGTTTCCCACTAGGCCCCACCTCTTACATGTTCTGCTGTCATCTGATTGCACCAGGAGTGGGGACCAAATCTTTAACAAATGGGCCATTGGGAGTGATTATACTGCCATTGTTTTTTCAACCTGTCCTTATGTGTATGAATTATTTGCAGTACTCTTAGAAATGGCATTTGTAGGGTCAAAGATAGGTGTATTTGCAATTTGATAGAGATCACCACCACAGAGATCTTATTCTCTGTTGTGGTTGCTAACAATTACCTTTGCCAAGAGAAATGTGTGTGATTGCCCGTCTCCCTATTCCCTGGACAAAGCAGTACATTATCCATCTTTTGGGTCTTTGTCACAGGGTTAGATGAAAAATAGTATCTCAGTTTAGATTTAAATTAACTTATTTAATAGAAACAATATTTTATGGCAGGAATGTTTTGACAAGAATGTTTTAAACAGGATTCTAAAGTAAGATTAGACTGCCGTGTGAATTTCATTCATTACAATGTTTGGAGATAATGTTTTAATAGCAGAGAAGTCAAAACCAAGGAGTGCACAATGCTGAGATGACACTGATGTGGCCAATTGTAAGAAGTCCAGATCTCTAAAATAATGAAGACTCATCACATTGTTTTGTAATGAAGTGACAAGTAACCATGGGAATTACTGAAGTGTGTAAGGATCTCCAGTCTTTCATGAAAAAAACACTTCTGAGTTGTCAAAGCAGAGAATAAGCTGTTGCAGACTTACCTGCTTTATTTTGCAGAGGAATCAGAGCTCCTTTGCTGTGGGCGGCTAGTTTGGGTGGGACACAATGGCTGTTAAGGAAATTACTTCCAGGGGATGAGGGCACTTGGAAACACTGATGTGGATAAACATCTCTTTCTTCTCTTTGGGAGGAGGTGGATTAAGAATCCTTGTATTGTTCCTCCAGTGCTAGGTCCAAAATCTGACTGCCTTCCTCCTACCACACTTTAGAAATTCTCCTTTGCCAGAGGTTACCTCTTTCGCTCTTTTCAGAGTTTACAGTTGAATGCAGTGGGCAGGGAGAAAGAAGTCTATATCATCTCCTCTAGATTAGAAGTCGTACATAATAACACTATTAGAAGTAATACTTTCAATAAGGCTATTAACAAATAAAAAATGTGGAAATAAATAAAATAATTAAATAATAAATAATTTAAAATTATAAATATTTAAAAGAATTTAAGTAATCAAATAATTTCATTTTTGTCTCATTTTACATGTACTTTGTACAATGCAAATGGAGAAGTTATACTTTTGCCTCCTGGTACTCTGGCATTCACGAGGAACAGGTACACTTCTATCCATAGATACCTTACCAAATGCTATTTCTTCTAGACATATAGTAGAGTTTATTACTTGCCATCAAGTGGATTGGGAAGAAGTCTTGTCTATGAAAATTTTCAAACCATAATTTCTATATCAAAGTATCAAACACAAAATCATTTAATTTATCTGAAATTTCTACATAGAAATTAAGTTCAGTATAACCTAACACTCAGTTAATGATCACTGTGCCTATTCCACAGTCTGTCAGACTTAAATTCAACATGCACATGTATCAAATATATACAAGTATGAATTTTAATGTAATATACATTAGCAATGACCTTTATAGTTTATAAAAACATTTCCATTTAAAACTTCATTCTAAGTGAATTTTCTGTGGGCTAAAGAGGACAGTTATCACTAACCTCATTTTACAATTGGAGAAATAAAAGCTGAGGATATGATTAAAGGGGTTGTTAAACATAACTCAAACTGAGGATTTCTAAGTGTTCTGCATCTGAAGACGGTACCGTCTCCTGTATCCCATACTGAATCACACACTGCAGTCAGTAATTGAGGGCATTGGATATGAAATCAGCCAGATGATTCAAACTCCAGTTGTTTCCACTTTCTGTTATGGGCAAGCACTTTCATCTTTTTAAAAATCAGCTACCACATCTATAAAATGGAGAGAATTACACATATCATATCAGAAGGTTGCTTTTTTTAGAATGAAATTCAAAGCCCTAATACAGTTGAAATATTTAAGTATTTCCTGGCATGTATTAAGGACCCAATAAATAATAGCTGATGGCATAATAAACTAAAGGAGGTATGTCAGGAAACTGAATCCATTTAAAATCTGAATGAATGGAGGTGAGAAAGAAGCTCCTGTGGGCCAGTTGAACCTTGTGAAGTCTCCTGACACCCAGTGTCTGGGGAATGAAAAGCGTCTGGGGAATGAGGGGGAGGCTGCTTGCCCTTGACATTGGCTCCCAGTCTCTCTCCCTGGCTGAGCTTCCTGAAAGATGAATTACTTATATATATTTAAAGAGCACAGCATACTTAGGCAAAATGTATTTTGGAACTATTAAAAGACAAACTTATTGAAAGACCTGAATTTTAGAATTATTTTTATTTTTTATTTTTTTGAAAATTTAACCTCCTCAGAGATTCTACAGTGATATGAGACATCCATATATCCCATAGAGGAGTAACATACATGATCAATTTTTTTAAATTTAAAGTTGTCTAGGCTTCCTTTAGATTCACAATGACTCTTTTGTTAATTGAAGTGTCTTACTTACCTTGAAGCCCACTTGAGATAAACTTATATCTGAACCTTGACTCAATTTAAAAAACAAACAAACAAAAAACAGCAACAGTAAGTATGTTGTGCAAGTTTTCAATAATATTCTGCTTTTGTTGATTGATCCTATACATGTGCATTTTAGGATCTGAAAGCGATAGTCTCACCTTATTTACAAATTATTTGTCAATGATTGAAATAAATTCCCTTTAGTGAGCTTCTCTGGAGGTATTCATCTTCATGTTTTTCCAAATATTTCCTTATTTTTATGGATGATGCTTTTTTGAGACTTTCAGTATATTAGGCAAAGAAGAAAAGAGTATTTAAAAGTTCATCACTTTGGCAAAGGAAAACAAAGTAAGGAAATAAAAATTATTTCACTCATCCAACTGCTGACCTCTTCTCACTGGTGTCCCCTCTTTGCAAGTGTGCTAGGAATTGTCCTCTGTGTCACTAAAGTTGAGAAGTCAGGGGTAAGGACATATGGCTCAGGCTCTGGGGCAAAGTTCATGGCAATGAATGACTGGTTAGGATGC